TAATTAGGAAGTCAAAAAGAAAGAACATCAGTGTCATGAATGTTGGCTACATTTCTAGGTTTGACTCTATCAAAAAGCCATTGGAAGTTATTTGTTGCCATCTCCTCACTAAAAAATAGGCCTGAATGAAATGTTTTTGACATGAGAGAACTACTTGTGACAACGTCTATGATTGACCTAAGAGATCCTATATGCCCATTATAGAAAGTCTGAATTATTAATCAGCCTGGTAAAGTATGGCAGGAAAATTTTCTATGGATTTCTGTAAAACTTTCCTAAGCTTATAAATTAACTCACCATCATGTTGGCAAAAATAAGTAATACTATTTCTTTGTTTAACAATTTTTTAAGGTGCGAAGTATTTTGCTAAGAATTTCTAAGCAAGATCGTTCTAAGTCCTAGTAAATCCAAGGGCTAAGGATTTTAACCACATTTTATTTCTATCCCTTAAGGAGGAAGGGAAAATTTTTAGACTCACAACATCGTTGAAGGCACTGTTATAGAAAAATGTGGCGCAAAGTTCTAAAAGACTCATTAAATAGAGATTAGGGTCTTCCGAAGGTGTCTTCCCAAACAGATTGTTCTACACCATTTGGATGGTAGCATGCTTTAGTTGGAAGATATTGGCTTCTACAGTAAGCGCATGGGTACAAAGATGGATTTAATCTACTGTAGGATTAGAATAATCTCTTAAAGTTGAAGGCATGTTGTTCTGATTAAGGACTTCAAGGTTGTTATTGGCTATGTCAGCCATTTCTCTTAAATTTAATTGTAGCACTTAAAGTTTTCTAATTTTTTTAACGGCTCTCTCTAGCTTAAGATCGTACGGTTCATGTCCAGAATGGCTTGAACTGCACATACACTAACTAGGTTCCACTAGCAAGGCACCCTTATGCTAATAAGAATAATAGGCAATTTAAACAAAAGAAAAAAGGGAAAATAAATTACTAAATCAAGAACAAGTAAACAAGTATTATGCATGAATTAAAAGTAAGAAACAAAGAAGCTGCGCAATCAAAGAAATTTAAAATAGAACGTTAGTGAATTTTTCAAGTGAAGACATAAAAGTAAGGAACAAGATACAATGAACACTACTGTTCTTCAAGCCTAAGACCCAATAGTTCAACTAAAATTTTTTGAATTTAAAATTCACCGTTGTTCTCCAGCAACAAAGCCAATAATTTGACACACACCAAGTGTTGCAAAAAATATGTAGTTTATGCAAGTATTGTGGTGTATCAATAGTACCAGGGTTTGAGTCCGGTTAGCCATCCAATAAGGAGTAAGATGAATTCTAAGGAAAAGTTCTAGCCTACCATTTTTAACCTAACCCTAAAGAGTTTATATTGTAAGTTCAACTTTAATCCTATTTAAAAGCTGTGGAAAACTGGTCCATCCTAATCAGCAAAAAGATTCTTTTATAATTTAGGGTTTGAGAATTTTCCCCTTCAATTGATCAAGTGATGGAAGAGACTAAGGATTGGATTCAAAAGTTAGTGTCAATTATGAAAAAAATTCTTCCTTATCCCCTTCTGATGGTCTAAAGAAGACTAACAGTCTTAAGTTTAGTTCTCTAATACTCTTAAAACTGCTCATAAGAAAATGTCTTCTAGAAGATTGCATGAATCCAATGACAATATCCTTATTCCAATGAATTAATGTTGTTAGCTCTTTTGTTCCATAAAAAATCATTCTGAATATCAATATTCACAAAAGGTTTTAAAAATCAACTGACCAAGCAGATAGTAAATTATGTTCTCAAGTTAAATAAACACTTTTAAACTCAAGTTAAAGCCCAAATATTCTCAAATCTCTTGTCATATCTAACCACCATCTCAATTAAAGAGATAAACACAAAAGTATTCACTATTCATGGCAACTTTCATCAACACAAAGTTGGTATTTTTAAATAATCATCAAAAACCAAGTCTTTACATAGAAATCTATAAGAAAATAAAACTTGATAGTGCCTATCTCCTTCACAATAAAGCAATATAATGATATCTCCAATAACATAAAATAAACTCTGTCGATCCTCATAAACACTCTTTTTTTTATCTCTTAATCTCCTTACAAGTTATGTGGCCTTCTCCTCCAAATCCTCCCTAAGAAATGACTCAAGAAAAATGGTGAAAAGCCCCCATAAATTTATCTTCCAGCCTTTAATCTTTCTTTGCTTCAATTGAAATTACGAATTGCCAAAAGCATCAAATTATGAGTTATGGTGCCTAGCTCCTCGTGGAAACGCTTAGGCACATATAGAGTAGCGCCAAATTTTTGTCCAATCGGGAATTTGCTCAATTTGGGGATGGATTGGCATCTATGTAGCACTGAACCTAGGCGCTAGGTTACAACTTTCTCTATTCCAATTTATTTAAGTCCCGCTCGATCCTCTTTCTGTTGCAACCTGTAAAACAACACTAGAACCTTCCTCAGAGCATAATAATTTCATAGGAAATGCAAACATTTACAAACATTTAATACAAAGTTTCAGGACACGTCAGCTCCTCCTTAATCTCTCTTCACTTCTCCATCAAATCACTCAATAAATGTATAACTTCCATAGTAGACTTAACCGACATAAATCTAAACAAATTATGAGAAAATTTTGTATCTTGTTTTGACCTATTTTCATTATCCTCTCCCATAATTTAAAATATGAAACATCAACATAACTCTTCTATAATTTGGACACTTTTGTGCATCCTTTATATTCTTAGAAAGGGTGCCAAAATACTCTTCCTTCACTCATGCCTCTTTTTAGTTTTAAAATAATATTAAAGAGTTTAGTATGCCAAGAAACTCCCAAATCATCTAACTATTTCCGCACTTTAGTTGAGATATCATCATATCCTAATAATTTTCAACTCTCAGTATTCCTTAAAGCGTCCTCAACTTCTTTACACTCACATGACAGTAAAAATAAATTATTTTATTATTATTAACGATATTAAGATTACTAAAGTAGGCCATCTTTTCAAAAAACTTCATTAAAATTTTTTACAAAAATCTCACCCACCTAAGTTGAATATCTTCCTCGAAGAGAAGCAATTTTTTTATTTTCATCTTTAATACACTTTACATGAATTAAATCTTTGCTCTTCTTTTATCTTTATTTGGTTAGTTTATACATATACTTTTCACCATCTGCAGTATCTAATCTATTCTAAGGATCACTAAAATCAGAATTTTTAGTGTCAAAAAATGTTATTTTACACTCTCTACAGGTGATCTTATTTTTTTCCAGTTATCAAGCTTTATATTCTCTCGATGTTGAGTGTTTAAATTGACACTTGGAAAGACCTTACAATATTTACATTCCCAACGATCTCTTCTTCTCATAAGAGAATAATCAATTTGTATTTTATTAGATTCATTCTTATAAGTAATATCATGCTCATTTCTTTTTCATAAATAAATTATTAACAATAACAAAATCATATGCAAAAGAAAAATTCAATCTAGTTTTACATTCTTAATTAATCACTCCAAAACTATAGCCAACATTAATATTTCAAAATCATCAACCACTCTACCACATGCCTTTTTAATTCTCCTATAATAAAAATTCATTCATCAAAAACCATCATTTGTATTAATTCTTTTAAATTATTCCATATTTTTTCTTTAGAGTCTTTATTTAAACTTATTCGAGGGTATAAGCACTTATAACAATGAAAATCTTAGTTTTAACAACAATCTTAATAGCTATAATTCCATCTCCAATTATGTTAATTTTTACAACATTATCTTTCAAACTGTTTCAACATTATCTTGTCAAACAGTTAGACCTCGCAGCAGGGATTAAAACACAAAGTTGACGGTCGAATAGCCTATCCTGATATTTCCATTTTATGAAATATCTAATAAAAATTTTAAGAAATAATTTAGAATTAAAAAGTAATATTTTATTTCTTGTTAGTTGCCTAAATATTCATTTTTTTTTAAGAAATAATATGTCAGGAAATAAGGACTCGTTAATATTGAATGTGCTCTAAAACAAGTTAATGTAATAATTTTTAAATTCACTGATATTTGACACAACCTGTATGAGGATATTATACAAATTTTCTTAATTTTTTAAATATCAAAATCTCCCGTTTTTAATATTCCTACTCCAGTTGGTAGGAACAAGGCTCAACAACAAGTGTGCGGTAGAGTTGAAAATAAAATATATTTTACAAATAATGCGCCTATAGCTAAAAGCACTTATCATTGGTACCATGTAAACTAGTTTTATACGCAAAGTCTTCCTCAGTGATTCAAGCATTTCGGGGAAGATTTTATGCTATCATATCCTTGTAAGATTTCAACTATAGAAACGAATTGGGCACGCAATGTCTTCTATTTATTTAATCATTATTTGTAGATTATCAAAACTTCACTTGTTTCGTTTTGATTGAAATTTAAAATTTTGATGAAGCAAAAACAATCAGACTATAATAGCCATGCTACCCATTTATATTACCTAATGAGTACGGATGCATCAGTACTCCAATAGTAAGGTGTCACGTATGCAATGGTCTCACCGTAACTGCCACGTGACACCCCACCATTGGAACATCAGTACTCTTGAGGCAATATTTTTTCTTTATCTCAAGTCATCTTAAAATATACGTGCTTGATTTTAAAATTCACCTGTAAAATGCATTTATATTTTAATATTTTATTAGGCCAAATTCATACTACGATTAATTTTGGTCCTTCACCACAAAAGTTTACGAACCAAAACAAAATATATTAAATTCTATTTCAATCTATCATAACTTAAAAAACCAAATTGAATCAAAGCATCTAATTTGCATTGCAGATACGATCCAACAATGTTTGGGATTTATATCAAATCCCCTAAAAGCATAACAAAACAGCTGATGTCAGACTCCTTATTTTATAGTTTTATAAAATTGGATAACCTTAACTCACAAAAAAAAATATAATGCGAGGAGGCTTTCTGTTATTAGGAAAAGAATTGATGCGACGGAAAATGTTACAAAAAAGTGCATGACTATCATACTTCTGCCTCAAAAATAGTTTGGATCTCGATAAAGCAGACAGCAATTTTGAATATTTAGAGATATGAGTTTTATAAAAGCTATCAAGTGAATAAATTTCCGTAGAAAGCAAGATATATGGCCTTGATTACGTGAAGTATTCCATCACAAAAGCAGAAGAAAACGAAATGATGGATGCAAACACAAACGGCCCAAAGACCCACATATTTACCACCAAATTTGAATGCGGACGCATATAAAGAAAGACCAAGCAATGCTCTATGCCTACAAAAGCTATAACAACAAATAATCCTATCATTCAATCAAAAATTCCTTTTGCATCATTAACCTGTATCATACCATCAAAATCAATTGAACTACCAGAGCTGGAGCGTCCATGTTCTTGTTCTGTGAGGGAAACAAATGCCAGGCCTTGGATCAGCCTCATGATCTCAATTGTGTCATCTAAGTAATACTTTGCCTTGCTTGGTTTCTGCCCCACAGTGCAAGCAAAAACTTCAGCATTTTTGCCCAAACGAGGACCAGTCATGGCATTGTTTATGACCTCGAACATCTGCTCGTCGGATCTATCATCCCCAATACACAGAATGAAATCAGGTTGGAGTACCTTCGCCCCCAGTGTAGAAAGCATTCGCTCCACAACCAGGCCCTTACTCACACCCTGAAAATAAGATGAACAACATGGTTAGTTATATGGGTTACACATGGCCCGTTTGGGGCAGCATATTAGTGCGAACGGCGCTTTCGAAACGACGCCTCACCGTTTGAAAAACATGTTTGAAAACTCCGCCTAACGGTTCGAAAAACACGTTTCGGCAGCTTATCCGAAAAAACAGTTGGGTTTTTACACTAAACGCAGGCCACGGGTCGAACTCTGCGAGTCACACGCGGGCCGCGTTTTTTCTTATCCGGCTAAGATGCTTATCTTGATAAGCATAGGCTGCCCCAAACACACCCCAGTCATGCAAAGAAAGAAAGTTAACGTGTGATGTCTAACCTGAGGTTTAACCTCTACTTTATGGGGGCCAGCTTTGACAGACACAGGTTCATTGGCAAGGACGCTTTCGAGATGACTGAGAAGCTCTTTTGCTTGACAAGAGCCGAAATCCGGATCAGCATCCTCGTATGACCAGACAAGAGCAGTTTCATTGTCTTCTATGGTGGACCCATCCGTTGTGTCGGTATATAGTTTCATAACGGGTTCCACTACCTGTTTCCAGTCGCAGCCAACCAATGGCACACATGTCTCCCATGCTGAATCTCTCTTCAACCTACAAGAAAAAATTTTGAACATTAAAACAGGATAATTTGATATTAGCGGAAGAAGAGACCATCATTTAGTCATTATCAGTACAAACTATACTTGATAAAACAGCCATGCTCTGCCGCAATTGCCAAATTCTCACAGGTGTAAAACCAGTCGCTCAAAGTTCTGCGACTCTTCCCACTCACCAGGAAGACCGAATTGTTCTTCTCGTTGCAGAGAGAATTCAATATCTCAACCAACTTGGAGCTTGGTCTCTTATCAATGGTTGATTGGGGCATCAGAGTACCATCATAATCCAGCAACAAAGCTCTGGTTTTAGACTTACGATAAGCTGTGAGAATATGCTCCATTGATAGCTTCCTGAAGTTGTTATCAAGAGCAACAACTCTGAATCCCAACCCAAAGCCAATTCCCCAGCATCTTCTTGTCAAGTGATCCTTGCATGACCTTTGTAAATCTTGCAGAAAGCTGTGAGCCCAATAACCAACATCATGTGTGCTCACAAACTGGAAATGCTTCTCATGCCTCAGCTGCTTCTCAGTCTCAGGCATCTCCAATGCACTGTCCATTGCGTCAGCTACAGCTTCAATGTCCCATGGATTAACTCTAATAGCCCCGCTCAAAGAAGGAGAACATCCAATAAACTCTGACAGCACAAGCATGCTCTTCTTCACCGAACCCACACTCAAACCAAGAACTCTGTCCAAATTCTCATTCCCCTGTCTTGCAATGACATACTCATAAGGGATCAGATTCATGCCATCCCTAACAGCGGTGATCAAGCAGCAATCAGCAGCAACATAATAAGCTATCTTTTCACAGAACGAAAGGGGCTTGTCAAATAGAATAACCGGCCTGTAATTTGAAGTTCCGTATGTTTCATTAATCCGCCGTACAATAGCAAAGGTTTCAGCTTGCACCTCCTTAACGTCCTTCCCACGGCCTCTAGCAGGATTTGCAATCTGAATAAGTACGGCTTTGCCACGCCATTTTGGGTGCAGGGCGAGGAGCTGTTCCATTGCTAGAAGCTTGAGGCTAATGCCCTTGAATATATCGAAGTCGTCAACACCAAGCAAAATCGTCTTATCCGCAAACTGCTCCATGATTCTGGCAACCAAGGACTCCGTTTCATGCAGAGAAAGTACCCGCTGGAGCCGGCCCAAGTGGATGCCAACAGGGAGGATCTTGATGTTGACGGCGCGCCCATAGTAATCGAGTTCAATATAGCCGCGGTGGGACTGGTAGGTTAAGCCGAGCATTCTGCTGCAGCAAGAGAGAAAATGGCGAGCGTAGTCGAATGTGTGGAAGCCGATGAGGTCAGAGTTAAGGAGGGAACGAAGAATCTCCTCGCGAACAGGGAGGGTGCGGTAGATCTCGGAGGAAGGAAAGGGAGAATGGAGGAAAAATCCGAGCTTCAGGCAGTTGAAGCGTTTTCTAAGAAAAGTTGGGAGGGCCATTAGATGGTAATCGTGGAGCCAAACAGAGTCGTGATCGGGGTTGATGACTTCGAGGAGTTTGTCGGCAAAGAGCTTGTTAACGGAGACATATGCTTGCCAGAGAGAGCGATCAAAGCGGGAGGCGAGTTCAGGGGAGAGAGGGAGGAGGTAATGGAACAGAGGCCACAAATGGCGTTTGCAGAAGCCCAGATAGAAACGCGAGTGGAGTTCCGCGGGGAGGAAGAGGGGAAGGCAGCGGAAGGTGTGGAGGAGGTGTTGGGAAACCTCATCGTGATCAGAAGGGGGGATGATGTCGTCGCGGAGGCAGCCAACGAAGGTGAGGTTGGAGGAGGACGGGAGGGAGTCTCGGAGTTGGAGAAGCAGAGAATCGTGGTCGAAAGAGAATGACCAACCCGAGCCGTCGGAGCGGCGGCCGGTGCAGAGGGGTAGGTGGTTGGCGACGATGATTGTGCGAGGGGTGGAGGAAGACAAAGAAAAGGAAGGGTCAAGTTCGGAGTTGGAATCGGAGTGCGAAAGGAAGGAGCCGGTGGCGGAGGGCAGAAGATGACGAGGAGTGAAGTGGGCAGTACGGCATACGGGCGGCGGATCACCGGAAGCTAGCTCGAGGAGATTGGAGTAAGACTTCGAAGCCATCAGTTCCGCAAATAAAAGTCGCTTCCTTCACCAAGAAGACGGCAAAAAATCAGATTTTTGTTTCTATTAAAGCTCTAATCATCAAACCAAGGATGGCATGCTTGTTGTTGGCCTGAAATGGAAAAGGAAGACAAAGATCGGGGGTAGAGAGCACACTAGAAGGGGATTGGTCACGCCCAGCAAAAGTAATGAGTAATGGTCTACTCAGAAAGAACAGAACAGGAGTGATTATGTGGAAAGGATGAGGAGTTGAAGGTTAACAAGGAAAACTTTACCTTCGCGTTGAAGAAGAAAAAGAAACTTGGCAACAGAAATCTGAATGCCGGAGTTTTCCAGCTTCCGTCCAGCCCTGAAACTAGAAAGAGAGAGAGAGGAAGTTCCTGAGAAGGGGAGGAGTTTACGGTGTTTTATACGGACAAAGAGAATGGAAAGTATATATCAATTTCGGAAGGTATTTCGGATATAGATAGATTCACTCCTAATATTCGATTACTCACTCATATGCCGGCAAATTACCCTTCATGCTTCGTAGGAAAAAGTGCATAATTCAAATTTAAGATTGTATATAATTATATGTAATTGATGTCTCCATGTGATTAGAATCGTGGTCGAATAATTGAAATTCATTTTTCGTTTATTTTAACTATGGATAATTAATCTACATCATATTATTAATACCAAATAATTACATAAATATCACTCGATTCCTAAATAAATTATAATACATTTCTAACCCTTGCATATTTTTTTATATATTTGAAATTTGATTTCTTTTCGATGAATCACACTCAACGAATAAAATACAAGTAGAGAAAGGAGTGAGCAATAATGAACAACTTTGCGTCGTTTCTCATTCATAGGAAAATTCCCCTATTTCTAGAAGAGAGGTTATAATACTGTAATGTTAGGATATTTCTCAAATTATATACTCATGAGATTATGATTTGACTGCTTTCTAGGTTAGCTTCAGGACCGCAAGATCAACTCTAGATGGGATCAACTTGGTTGACTCAGTTTGATTGATATGAATCAACTAACTGATATGGTCGGACTGTCGATCTTGGACCCCTAATGAGGGACTGCTGATGTCTCTCAGATGTTTGAAGATGCTAGGAAACTGTATCTTCCTTAGATCAACTTTTCAAAAGTGGTTGGCTCGAATGTCTCTTTACCTCATTTTTTTATTGGATAGTTCAAGCTCCAGTCATTTGGTTGTCCTTTTATCTTCCTCGTGCCTAGGTCAGGTCTAGCCTTTCTAGTTTCAGCTTGAATAACTTCACTAGATCAGACAGCTTAGTCTTTTGCTCTTCTATCATTAGGCTCTTTTTCATCTACTCCTGTCTTCCAGAGCGTTTGATTTTCTCTGGATTAGCGTTGACATATTTTATATGCACCTATTTTAGCTTCCCGGGTTTCTTGTTTCTTGAAAGTAACCCTACGATAAGAGTAAGAGAATAAAATGCAAAAAGTAGATTGATTTTCTTACTGACCAATATTTCAATAATTAAATTCCATTGATTTTTGTGTCTTTGATTATGATGAATAAGACATGATGGGACTATTCCAATTCTATATTTGCTCCACGAGCTTTCTTACTTGAATTGGTCATCTCTAGAGTGTTGTGATGAAAAACATGTCAAATCCCTTAGGTGATAACCCCAATAAACATCTACTTCATATTGCCTTCAAGAGGCCGAATGAGCAGTGTCACATAGAAGATGAAATGAAGAAGAAAAACATCATTAAGAAGAGAAAACAAATTGCACTAAACAATGAGGTGAGGTAATCAGATTTGTTCCTCGACATGAAGTAGACATACATTTATGCCACCAACCAGACCATCGATCGTCAACTAAACTTTCTCCTATGACACAAGACCCATTGATTGAATTGGCAATGCAAAATGTATTGATGCTCCGACGTCTCACGGTGAGGGCGTTTTGTCAATTACAACATTTCAATTGGATCAACTACTTGCTATGAGGAGCTTCAATTTTACATATTATATTTTATTTTTTATGAAGTCCTTTTTTTACATTGTCTCTTGGTGTAAAAGGCCTAATTAATAATCTTGGAGGATTGACATGCATGAAAATATGTTATTTTTCTATATACATTTAATGTTTGTTTTTAACGATATTATATTGTAAAGGAAGGTATTTTATTGTTTTTTATTACATGTATAATAGGTTAAACAATTGGAATAAAAGGAGAAAAAAGGGGAAATTTGGAGTCAAATGGAGCAATAAAAAAATTTTGACTACTACCCTACGAGCCAGGCAGTTATTTCATGAATCTAGAAGGCTGGCGCTTAGGCTCCATGGTTGGGCACCTAGGGGCCAGAAACCAACTTGCTTTTTTTTAAGCCTTTTTAGACAGATTTTAGAAGGGGGCTTGCTTTCTCTTCGTTTAGGATGTGTCTTTAGAGTTCTTAGTGACTCTTAGCACTTAGACAGAAGAGAGAAAGGGAGGAATTGAGAGATTTCTTCATTTTTTGTATTTATTTTGTAGAGATTACAGAGGAGTGTAAGGGATTGTTATTTGCTTTGCAAGGAGGGCGCGAATCTTCTATAAAGATAAACCTTGAACTCTTTTTGTATTAACTTCAAATTATTGCAATATAGTTGTATGATTTCAATATCATTTGCAACGAAGAATCCATGTGTTTTCTCCATGTTTAGTGAGTAATTTTCCTTAATCTTTTCTTTTATTATGAAGAAGTGACATGCGTAGGAATATTTGTTTTATCATAGAATAATTTTAATTTCCATGTGATGAGTAATATCTCCGTTGGTTCATTGACATAACATACTGGCCATAAATTATGTTAAAATTTGTTGTAAGTTGAGACAAAGATTCGGAAGAGCGGTGACTTCACAACAGACGTGCACTCGCATTGTCCGACTAGAACTAGTCAGGCGATGATGCAAATTTTAAAGGAAATATACTTCATGATCTATTTCTATTAGGAGCTTCTAGTAGATGATTGATGTAAGTGAATGGGTTACTTACCATGAGTTGTAAGGTTGTTTAACCACCTTCGCATCTCTACTAGTTGTCTAAACCTGATAGAATATTAAGCTTATCTTTGCACTTAAAAGAGAGTAGGTAGACATATGTTCTTTGTTGGCACAATAATTATTACATAACTCTACAAATTTTTCTACTGCCTATGTCATTATCTTCATTACAAGAGGGAAGAGATTTTTATTATGTAAAAACTTTCCAAAATTTAACCAGCCTCTGTAGATTAGGTTTTTATTTAATTTATTTAACTTTAATTTTAAAGTAATGTAGTGAACTTAAGAAAATCAAACTCTTCAGAAACTCCAAGCTAAGACGAGTTATTGTAGAGTAGAACTTTTACTGAAGTCATTAAGAATTAACGCCTTTCCTCTTGGGATTGTTACTCAAAGTTTTTGTAAGAAAGCTCTATATTACTTGAACGATATGTGCACTTGCGTAGTATCCCTAGTGTACAAAATTGAATCGTGGAGAAAAAATAGAATTATTTATTAAATAGGACTCAGACGGGAATGAAGGACACATGCACACACGAGCAATTGGAGTCCAGTTTTTGGCGTCGTTGTCTGGAATTAAAATTGAAGCAATTACACACGAAGCACACACATATTGTTGTGATCAAGTTTTTGGTGTTGTTGCCGAGGAATCCAAGTTGATTTGACATAAGTAAACTCTTAGTTAATCTAATTAGACATAGACCTGAAAAATTGTAGTCTCGTTTATTCGTTAAAGTGCATGGAAAAAATTATTTTTAAATAATGAAAAGATTATATATATATATATATATACACACACACACACATAAGTATTTTTGAGTGTTTTATTTAACTTTATTTTATGAACCTTTACTTTTTTATGCATAGTTCAGGATCTGCAAGTTTAATACCTTACGATTGTGAGTTGGAACGAACTGTTAGAAAAATTAAAAAAAAAATAATTTCATAATTTAGAAGAAATGACGAACACGTCATATAATAATTTAGATCATCAAATTGCGTAAAATAGACTTCATCTGACACAAAGACTGTTAAGGGATTATGCAAACCTGTGACAGATAAAATTCACTTAAGTATACAAACTCCTCCCTTAAAATCTAACACATTTGAATTAAAACTAACAATTATCCAAATGGTGCAGAATAACCATTTTTGAGGAACCACATCAGAATATCCAAACCTAAACTTGGCAATTTTTCTAGAACTTTGTGCTACTTGTCATTATAACGGTGTGTCAAATGATGTATTTAGACTAAGGTTATTTCCTTTTTCACTAAGGGACAACGATAAAATGTAGTTAAACTCATTAACACCTAACTCTACTAGAACTTGGGGAGAATTAGCTCAAAATTTCTAGCTAAGTAATATACACCTTAAAAAATTGCTAAACTTAGAAATGATAGTACTTCATTTTGTCAGTATGAAGGGGAATCAGTATATAAAGCTTAAGAAAGTTTTAAGGAAATCCATAGGAAGTTTCCTCATCATGTGCTACTCGATTGGTTAATCATTCAAACATTTTACAATGAGTTAGTAGGATCCCTTAGATCTATCATTGACGCTGTTGCTGGTGGATCACTCATGTCAAAATCATTTGATGAAGCATATGTGTTAATTGAAGAGATGGCTACAAATAACTTTCAAAGGCTCTCTGAAAGGGTAAATCCTAAAAAGATAGCAAATGTTCATGATATTGATGTGATTGTGATTCTTGCATCTCAGGTTACAACAATATAGAGCAAGTTGGATCAAATTGGAGAGTTCACAATCACAATCACAATCAACAAATTATTGAGAAAAAAGTTGCTTACAGACTTAAAATTATGCTAAGCTTTAAAAATAATCAACAAATTATTGAGAAAAAGTTGTCTATAGAAGAATTGGTATTGCATATGAGAAACTAGTTGCAAAGTCAAATTGCAGCTACATGAAATTTAGAGAAAGAACTGAGAAAAATTGCTTACAGACTTAGCAATAGGTCCCAAAGAACTCTTCCTAGCAACATTGAGATAATCCCTAAAGAAAACACTAAATAATAGGTAAAAGTTGTCCAATTTAAAAGTGGAAGAGAAATAAAGGATGTGGTTCATAAAGAAAAGGCAATTGAGAGTCCAAATAAGGAGACTGAAGAATCTGAAGAAAAATTTTCCAAGGGTTTAGAAAAACTAATTTCTCCAAAAAAAATTAATCAAAAAATACCACCACCTCCATTCCCTCAAAGACTTAGAGAACAAAAGCTGGATAGATATTTTTCAAAGTTCCTGGAAGTATTTAAGAAATTAACGATAAATATTCTATTCGCTGAAGCTTTGTAACATATACCAAATATGTGAAATTTATGAAGGATATAATAAATAGGAAAATTAAATTTAGGGATTATGAGATAGT